GTTAAGCCCCTGCAATTTGACTGATGCATCATTCAGTGGATGAGCTGTTAATGGCTGTTGAAAGGTTCGTTACCTTCAGTACAAGTATCACCGTTCAAGGAGAGGACGCGTCAGGGCGGGCGACACACGCGGGGGATGGGGGCAAGCCCTGACCCCATGCAAGACACACATGAAAAAAGCTTGTAAACTGTAAACTTGCAGTGGGTGGATGTCATGCGACATCATCCAAGTTTCACGTCGTCGCTGCAGTCGGGGCGTGTTTAGTGCGGGGATACTCCCCCATGCCCCACCAATACAACCATGTTCCCCTTTCCTAAGCCCTGCAAGAAACCTTAAACGTGCCTTCGGGTGGTGCTGCCGTGCGTTCAGCAGCTGACTCGGCATCAAGGGGGATAGGATTCAAGCGCAGGGTATGAGGGCTCAGGGGGTTCACTGGTTTTGGCCGAGCGTCGTAAAAAACTCGCTGCTGAGCATGCCGCTGCCCCCTCCAGTTGTGGTGGCGCGGTCCTGCGAGCCCTCACCACCCACACCGCCCTCACCTCTAGAGTTAGAGATCCTTTTGATCTCCCATCCCCATACATCCCCACCACAACCCAAGGCCCAAACCGCTCTCACCTACCTTCACCTCTCTATAGCTCTAATATGCTCTAATGCACCCAGCGGCGTCACATCCAAGAGTCCTGCGCCATCAGGATGCTAGCCTGCACCGCGGCACCGTAGGCCACCGCCTCATCAGGGTTGATGAAGCTGCTGGGCTCCTTGCCGTTGAAGAACTCTTGGATCATTCCCCTTCACCTTGGGAATGTACGTGGAGCCACCAACCAGCACCACGTCGTGGACATTCTCCTTGTCCATGCCAGCATCCCTCAGGCAGCTTTCCACTAGGCCAATGGATTTGCAAAAATAGTCCATGCACAGCTCCTCGAAGCAGGCACGGGACAGAGAGCAGGAGTAGTCGATGCCCTCGTAAAAGGAGGCGATCTCGATTGTGGCCTGCACGGAGGAAGACAACGTTCGTTTGGCGCGCTCGCACTGCGTCCGCAAACGGCGCAAAGCCACTGCATCGGTGATGTTTTTTTCCGGATTCTTTCGCCTCGGGCTGCACTGCGGCTGCATTCATGGGAATCGCTGGGCAGCTAATTCCAAACTGCCAGACTAGTTGCCTGAAGTCCCTCATGCAGAACTCCACAATGCGATCGTCGAAGTCCTCACCGCCCAGATGGCGGTCCCCCGCGGTTGCCTGGGCAAGATCTGCTGAACCCTGAACTTCTGTGCAACCCAAAGACGTCCACCACGCAAAGCCTCCCGCGAAGATCTTGCAAGCCCTAAAGGCAAGAGTTGAACAGAACACGTTCGAAAGCCACTTCTACTTCTGAGAGTGGCACAAACTATGCGAAGCTTAGACGGCATCGGACTCGCGCTCAGAAAACCAGACTAGTCAAGAAGAAGCTTCATCCCTGCCTTCACCTCGAACTTACGATCTTCGATCGTCAGGAGCGCGACGTCGAGCGTGCCGCCCCCCAGATCCTTTTCAATAATGCAGCTTATTTTGACTCTTGGTAACGTACACAGCTACCATTACTTGCCATGAAGCTCTGGCTTTGTAGTGACTGTCGCCGGATGCATGATGCCATTGCAGAAACCAAGGCAGCCAAGGTGCGTAGACAAGGATGTTCTTTCCGGCACCGCCCCTCTTGTCCAGGCCATAAGCAATGGCAGCAGCAACTGGCCTCGTCTTTTCAGACCGTTTTGAATTCAGCTCTCGCAACAGTCTCCCACACCCCGATCACTGACTTCATAGACAATCCGATGCTGGGGTGGGGTGTGGTGGGGGCGTGAGGGCCCGTGCTTATGGATGTCTGCCAAGCGTTTGAATCCTGAACCTGTTAAAGACCAACCCAGGATAAGGAAAACAGAGCAGATCCTGCTGAGTTCCTATGATCGGGAATTCATGGTGACCAGTGTCCACATCGAACCCGATTTCGACAGGCCTGCGGCGTGCCGGGCATGTGAAGGTGGAAGCTTCGCCCCTCGTGATCATGGAACCGGAGTCATCCGAGGCGGACGTTGCCCGATCAGATGGAGGAAAAAGAAACCTTGACACCTGGAACCCCCTGGCACCTTCTGTGTACCCTGGCAACCAAACCCCCAACTCCCCTTCGCAGATACTGTGAGGCTGCCCGGCACCTGTCCCTGAAACCTGCCTGCTTTCGTCAACCCCTCCCCACTAGACAGGTTTGGCTAGGCGAGTGGCTCATCAATGATGCGCAGCACATTCAGGCCAGCCATTCCGCCTGCAACAAGTCAGCGTTTGTGCAGTACCGCCTACAACGGGCGTTCTTATTTCCACCTATGGTTCTATGGTAAGTAACTTCTGTAGATGTTCAGAATAATTTCCAAGTGATCCGGAAGTTTTGGAAAGCTCTCTGGGAGCCTTCCGAGAAGGTCTGGCATTGCACACAGTTGTAGTGCTCGAGAACCCCGCCATTTGTGCGACTTCCGAAACAACCCAGTTTTGTTGCGAGTGTTTTGTGATCACGTGCAGGTTCAGGGACTAGAATGTAGCACAACGTCATTGCACACAGTTGTAGTGATTCTGGTCTTACAACGGTTTTGTGGTGATTTTGGAGTCTTGAGGTGGCTTCTGGTAGAATTAATAGGAATCCTACTGAAAATATTACGAACCCTGTTAAGATTCATAAGTTTCCCATGAAAAGCTATGGGAATCCGATTAAGAATAGTTGCAATGGAAAGTAGAATGAATAGGAAGGCATCCCACTACACCGGGTTCCTATTAAGAATTCATAAATCCTGGTGGTGTAAATGGGATTCCTACTAAAAGTAGAAGGAATCCAATTAACATTTATAGGATTCCTATTCGTTGGGATCCGGCTTTAATTCCGATTAAAGGTCATAGGAACCCGTTTAACTTACGAGGATCGCTTTCGGACTGATAATGAAGTGGTTGCGATTGCAATTACTAGGGATCCTACTTCAATTAACAGGATATTGCAATCAACAGGAGTCCTGTCAAAAAACTAATGGGACAGAAATCCTGGTCACTTGATTGTTTGAAGATTGTTTCTGCAGTGATTCTCGAGCCCGAGCGATGTTCAAGTGATTCTGGAGTGATCGCGGGTATGTGCGCCCGGGCACGTTCTCTGGAATCACTCCAGAAACGCTCGCAAATCATTCCGAACGGATTGTCTCTTTTGAAGATTTCAGAGTAATTTCGCAGAGACAATGGAGTGATTGCGGAGTGATTTCGGAGAGACTTGTGGTCCACGGAGAAAATGCCTAGTCATTTCGGAATGATTTCGGAGCGCTTTCTCAACGACGCGTTCTCGAACCCATCTGGGCTTGGGACCCTTCTCCCATGACTCGGGCACTCAAAACATTACGCGGGCTCTGCGGTGGTCATGTCAGCAAGGATGCTTCAGGGCTGAGGGGGCTACAACAGATGAAATTCCGTCTCCTTGCTGTGTAAGAAAATCTACCCAGGCCAGACACAAATGAACGACTGGAAGACGGCCGCAATATTACGAAGAACAGAAGCGAATTAGAATTCATGTTCCATGCACCAGAGCACATCCGCAACGCTGCGTTTAGCTCATGGCTCACTGCCTTCAACGTCTCAACTTAAGTGCCTGAAACTCGTTGGCGTCTCTGTTAGTGACAATGGTATTACCCGGTACATCAAGAACATGGTAGCGCCGTCATGCGCGGCACTCCGAAATAATGACGTGTGTCTCTCACAAGTCCAACCCTGCTGTAGCTCGGAATACCCACAGAAAGGCCACTGCCAATTCTGTTGCAGAAGCCTGCTCATATGACCTTGCTTGAGATGCTGAGGTAGGCACGGAGGCTCAGGATTGGCATCCGCAAGCCCACTCTGGATTCCAGAAGCAACTACTCAGCAATTGTTTGCGTGACTACGCTACTACAACTTGATGGAATAGGGATACTAAGAATTCACAGAAGGATGTGCTTGGAAAGAGGAGCTTGCCTTTTCCAAACCCCACACAACGGTTTATTCCAACACAGTACGGAAACGAAACGCTGCAAAACGAGCTCACACCAGAGCTAGTCTTGTTAAACATATGCATACAACACTACCCGCAACCACTCCGAAATCTCTACCAAAACACAATAAACCTTCAATGCAGATGGCCACACTGTTTACTACAAATGAATGTCACAAACGTCGCACCGGCGCCTGCATCTTTGGTGGCCTGCCGCTGCGAGCCATTGAAGTACGCCGGTACCGTCAAAACGGCATTCGTGATCGGAGAACACACGTAAGCCCGCGCAGTCTTTCTCATCTTCGTCAAAACCATGGAAGATATCTGCTCCGGGGAGAACGCCTTCTCCTTGGCAAAGCTACTAGTGCGTTGTGGCAAGATCGTTGGCAGGGGGTTTAGGGTTTAGGGTTTGGGGTTCTTTGGCTTTGGGCTCCTCATCCTCCAAGGAGACCATGATCCTTGCCTTGCCGAAAACGTCAGGCTCAACTCGAAACGGCCAGCGCTTCAAGTCGGACGGCGCAACATCTTTGAACTTGAGGCCCATCAAGCGCTTGGCATCAAACACCTGAGCCACACTGCAGACCAAACCGCATTGCAGTGGCAGCCGGTCGTCACGCACAAATCTGATCAAAAAAACACAGGACAGGTTAACCAGGATAACTTGCCTGCCGCGGTGGGAAAGGAGCGGTGATGCATTTGTGTGTGTGTGTGTGTGTGCACGCGCGGGTGTGTGTGTGTGTGTGTGTGCGCGCGTGTGCGTGTGCGTGTGCGTGTATGTGCGTGTATGTGTGTGTGTGTGTGTGTGTGTGGGTGTGGGTGTGGGTGTGGGTGTGGGTGCGGGTGTGGGTGTGGGTGTGTGTGACTGCATGTGTGTGTGTGTGTGTGTGACTGTGTGTGTGTGTGTGTGTGTGTGTGTGGGTGTGTGTGACTGTGTGTGTGTGTGATTTGTTATTGTTTGATCGAATGTACCACCTTCAGATATAAAATGACCCAAAGATTTAATATCTGCTTAATATTAGCTCTTGTGTGTTGTGTGTGTTGTGTGTGTTGTTGTGTGTGGTGTTGTGTGTGGTGTTGTGTGTGGTGTTGTGTGTGGTGTTGTGTGTGGTGTTGTGTGTGGTGTTGTGTGTGGTGTTGTGTGTGGTGTTGTGCGTGGTGTTGTGTGTGGTGTTGTGTGTGGTGTTGTGTGTGGTGTTGTGCGTGGTGTTGTGTGTGGTGTTGTGTGTGGTGTTGTGTGTGGTGTTGTGTGTGGTGTTGTGTGTGGTGTTGTGTGTGGTGTTGTGTGTGGTGTTGTGTGTGGTGTTGTGTGTGGTGTTGTGTGTGGTGTTGTGTGTGGTGTTGTGTGTGGTGTTGTGTGTTCGTTGTGTGTTCGTTGTGTGTGTGTGTGTGTGTGGTGTGTGTTGTGTGTGTTGTGTGTGCTGTGTGTGTGTGTGTTGTGTGTGTTGCGTGTGTGTGTGTGTGTGGTGTGTGTGGTGTGTGTGTGTTTGTGTGTGACTGTGTGGGCTGGGTGTGCGTGTGTGATGGGTGTCGTGGTGGGTGTGTTGTGTGCGTGTGTGCTGTGGGTGCTGTGTTGCTTTGGGTGCTGTGTGTGTGTTGTTGTGTGTGCTGTGTGTGCTGTGTGTGCTGGTGTGATGTGTGTCGTGTTGTGTCGACTGTGTGTGTGGTTGTGTGCTGTGTGTGCTGTCGTGTGCTGTGGTGCGGTGTGGGTGCTGTGTGTTGCTGTGTGGGCTGTGTGGGCTGTGTGCGCTGTGTGTGCTGTGTGTGCTGTGTGTGCTGTGTGTGCTGTGTGTGCTGTGTGTGCTGTGTGTGCTGTGTGCGCTGTGTGCGCTGTGTGCGCTGTGTGTGCTGTGTGTGCTGTGTGTGCTGTGTGTGCTGTGTGTGCTGTGTGTGCTGTGTGTGCTGTGTGTGCTGTGTGTGCTGTGTGTGCTGTGTGTGCTGTTGTGTGCTGTTGTGTGCTGTGTGTGCTGTTGTGTGCTGTTGTGTGCTGTTGTGTGCTGTTGTGTGCTGTTGTGTGCTGTTGTGTGCTGTTGTGTGCTGTTGTGTGCTGTCGTGTGCTGTTGTGTGCTGTTGTGTGCTGTCGTGTGTGTGTGTGTGTGTGTGTGCTGTGTGTGTGTGTGTTGTGCGCGTTGTGCGCGTTGTGGGGGTTGTGGGGGTTGTGTGCGTTGTGTGCGTTGTGTGCGTTGTGTGGGTTGTGTGCGTGGTGTGCGTGGTGTGTGTTGTGTGCGTTGTGTGCGTTGTGTGCGTTGTGTGCGTTGTGTGCGTGGTGTGCGTGGTGTGCGTGGTGTGGGTGGTGTGCGTTGTGTGCGTTGTGTGCGTTGTGTGCGTTGTGTGCGTTGTGTGCGTTGTGTGCGTGGTGTGCGTGGTGTGCGTGGTGTGCGTGGTGTGCGTTGTGTGCGTTGTGTGCGTTGTGTGCGTTCTGTGCGTTGTGTGCGTTGTGTGCGTTGTGTGCGTTGTGTGCGTTGTGTGGGTTGTGTGCGTTGTGTGCGCTGTGTGCGTTTTGTGCGTTGTGTGCGTTGTGTGTGTGTTGTGTGTGTTGTGTGTGTTGTGTGTGTTGTGTGTGTTGTGTGTGTTGTGTGTGTTGTGTGTGTTGTGTGTGTTGTGTGTGTTGTGTGTGTTGTGTGTGTGTTGTGTGTGTTGTGTGTTGTGTGTGTTTTGTGTGTGTTGTGTGTGTTTTGTGTGTGTTGTGTGTGTTGTGTGTGTTGTGTGTGTTGTGTGTGTGGTGTGTGTTGTGTGTGTTGTGTGTGTTGTGTGTGTTGTGTGTGTTGTGTGTGTTGTGTGTGTTGTGTGTGTTGTGTGTGTTGTGTGTGTTGTGTTTGTGTGTGTGTGTGTGTTGTGTGTGTTGTCTGTGTTGTGTGTGTTGTGTGTGTTGTGTGTGTTGTGTGTGTTGTGTGTGTTGTGTGTGTTGTGTGTGTTGTGTGTGTTGTGTGTGTTGTGTGTGCTGTGGGTGTTGTGTGTGTTGTGGGTGTTGTGGGTGTTGTGTGTGTTGTGATTGTGTTGTGTGTGTTGTGTGTGTTGTTGTTGGTGTTGTGTGTTTGTGTGGTTGTGTGTGTTGTGTGTGTGTGTGTGTGTGTGTGTTTGTGTTGTGTTGTGTGTGGTGTGTTGTGTTGTGTGTGTTGTTGTGTGTGGGGTGTTGTGTGTGTTGTGTGTGTTGTGTGTGTGTGTGTGTGCGCGTGCGTGTGCGTGCGTGGGGGGGGTGCGTGGGGGTGTGTGGGGGTGTGTGTGGCGGTGTGTGGGTGCGTGGGGGTGTGGGTGTGTGTGGGTGTGGGTGCGTGGGGGTGTGGGTGTGTGTGGGTGTGGGTGTGTGTGGGTGTGGGTGTGTGTGGGTGTGTGGGTGTGTGGGTGTGTGGGTGTGTGGGCGTGTGGGTGTGTGGGTGTGTGGGTGTGTGGGTGTGTGGGTGTGTGTGTTGTGTGTGTTGTGTGTGTTGTGTGTGTGTTGTGTGTGTGTTGTGTGTGTGTTGTGTGTGTGTTGTGTGTGTGTTGTGTGTGTGTTGTGTGGGTGTTGTGTGTGTGTTGTGTGTGTGTTGTGTGTGTGTTGTGTGTGTGTTGTGTGTGTGTTGTGTGTGTGTTGTGTGTGTGTTGT